CAATCTAAGATCGCCATGACCTTTTGAGGATCCATCGCGACCCCCGCGGGAGAGAGAACCAGTCCCAAGAACGTGATTTTACGCTGTTCGAAACAGCATTTTTCTGCCTTGGCGTATAGCACGTGTTGGCGTAAACGTTCCAACACCCGTAATACGTGATTTCAATGCACCTCCAGTGAGGGAGAGAAAATTAAGATGTCATCCAAATAGACAACCACGAAAACATCGAGGAAATCACAAAAGACGTCGTTGATAAAATGTTGGAAGGTTGCCGGTGCATTACAGAGCCCAAACGGCATCACCAAATACTCAAAATGACCGAATCTTGTATGGAAAGCCGTTTTCCATTCATCCCCCTCCCTGATACGAACAAGGTTATATGCCCCCCGCAGGTCTAATTCAGTAAAAATCATCGCTGACCTCAATCTCTGGAGGAACTCGGGAACCAGAGGTAATGGATAGCGATTTTTTACCGTGATCTTATTCAGATCACGGTAGTCTATACAGGGCCGTAATGATTTGTCTCTCTTTTCAACAAAGAACAACCCGGCCCTTCCGAAGATTTTCATCAATATACTCCCTCAGTACTCCTGACTCTAGTTCAGATAAAGGAAAAATACGACCGAACGAGATTTCAGACCCGGGTAGGAGGTCCATGGGGCAATCGTATGAACGGTGCGGGGGAAGAATGTCTGCTCCTCGTTTACTGAATACGTCTAGGAAGTCGTGGTAGGCCGAAGGAATAACCTGAGATAGATCTGTATCACCATCCATGCACAGAAGAAACCGGGGGGCCACGGACCCTGTGACGTGGCAGTGACTCAGACAGTAAGGTGACCAAAATTGAACTGTTCCCTTTTCCCAATCAATCTGGGGGTTTTGGGCCCGCAGCCAAGGAGCCCCAGAATGATTGGAAAAAGGGGGGATGCGATGGCATCCAGACGGAGGAACTCTTGGTGATGGTCTGCCACCGTGGTAAAAATAGGAGGCGTCTCCTGATCCACCACTCCCGATTTTATGCTAGACCCGTCTGCCAAGAAGATGTTAAACCCCCTTTCTTTTGTCTGGAGAGGGATCTTTTGCCGGTGAGCAAAAGTAAGATCGATGAAAACAACTACATGCTCCCGAATCAATGATTGCGGTCACCGACAAGGTTCTTCCGGGGAGCTGTAAAGACACAGGTATGGCCAGGTAACTAGACTGATCACCCCTTTCTGTAGGTAAAGGAAAAAAAAACAGGAAGCGGACTTACTCATTTTTGCAGGACAGGAGCGCACCTGGTGACCAGCTTCCCCGCAGTACAGACATAGGTTCTGTGATCGTCTCCTCTGACGTTCCTCGACCGATAAGGTGGAATGGGCCAGTCCCAGTTGCATGGGTTCCGAGGTGTCCCCTGGTTCCGTGCTTCGGGTATGGTTCCCTGGGGCTGGAGCTGCTTCTCTCGGCGGAATCCATGCCACCCTTTGACCCTGGCTGCTCCTTTCCAGCCGGCGTTCCCTCAGTCTGCGGTCAATTTGGATGGCCAACTCTATCAGTTTCTCAAGAGAGTCAGGTAGGCCTACTCGTGCTAATTCATCTCTCAGCGACTCAGACAGCCCGATGTGGAACTGGTGACATAATGCCGCATTGTTCCATCTGGTATCTCCCATCCAACGCCTACAATCGGACGCATATTCTTCGGCTGCCCGGTGGCCTTGCCGCAGAGAGTATAGGGTAGCCTCTGCGGAAGCAGCCCGCTGGGGGTCGTCATATAGGACAGCCATGGCCTGAAAGAACTCAGTCACGGAATCAAGAAGCGGCTTCGGTCTCCACGGAATCATTCTGGCAGGGGAACGCGGGGTTCGGGAGCTAGGGGTGCGGTAACTGCTCCGGATGCTGGGGTAGCAGGTGATTCCGCAGTTGGAGGACTCTGAGCGGGGAGAGAGTCAGGGTGACTAATGTCTCCATGCGGTTCTCAAGACGGGTTCAGCGGCTGTGAAAATTCTGGACGGCCTGGGTCAGGGTTGCCAGGTGCTGGTTTATATCCTCTAGGGACGCCGGTCCTCTTCCTGTCTCTGTCATGGCCGCAAGGTACTGTTATGATCCGCCAGGTGGTGACTCCGCCTGCCCACTTGACAGACCTACCCAAAGCGTGGAGTCTAAGTGCCGGTCTGTGCTTTCACCAGGGCCCCTGATGGTGGGGATGGACTTGTAACAGACCAGGACCAGGTCACGACCTCTGAGCAGGCCCACCAGTGGCAGAGGGAACCTCCGGGGATGTATAGGTACCGGGAGAGCCAGATGTGAGGAGGACTAGCAGGATGGGTCATGAGCAGTGGTCCCGTGGGGTAGGCGAAGTACAGAATCGGCAGGCGGAGAGTAGTCAGGTCACACGCAGGGTCAGCAGGATAAGTCAGTCCTCAGATAGGTCAAACAAGCCGGGAGTCAGGAGGGGAGAAGGCAGCGTAGTCAGGGCAACCCGGGTCAAACACAGGAGAAGGCAGCGTAGTCAGGGCAATCCGGTCAAACACAGGAGAAGGCAGCGTAGTCAGGGCAATCCGGGTCAAACACAGGAGAAGGCAGCGTAGTCAGGGCAATCCGGGTCAAACACAGGAGAAGGCAGCACAGTCAGGATGATCCGGGTCAAACACAGAAGAAGGCAGCGTAGTCAGGGCAATCCGGGTCAAATACAGGAGAAGGCAGCGTAGTCAGGATGATCCGGGTCAAACACAGGAGAAGGCAGCGTAGTCAGGGCAATCAGGGTCAAATACAGGAGAAGGCAGCATAGTCAGGGCAATCCGGGTCAAACACAGGAGAAGGCAGCGTAGTCAGGGCAATCCGGGTCAAACACAGGAGAAGGCAGCACAGTCAGGATGATCCGGGTCAAACACAGAAGAAGGCAGCGTAGTCAGGGCAATCCGGGTCAAACACAGGAGAAGGCAGCACAGTCAGGATGATCCGGGTCAAACACAGAAGAAGGCAGCGTAGTCAGGGCAATCCGGGTCAAATACAGGAGAAGGCAGCGTAGTCAGGATGATCCGGGTCAAACACAGGAGAAGGCAGCGTAGTCAGGGCAATCAGGGTCAAATACAGGAGAAGGCAGCATAGTCAGGGCAATCCGGGTCAAACACAGGAGAAGGCAGCGTAGTCAGGGCAATCCGGGTCAAATACAGGAGAAGGCAGCGTAGTCAGGATGATCCGGGTCAAACACAGGAGAAGGCAGCGTAGTCAGGGCAATCAGGGTCAAATACAGGAGAAGGCAGCATAGTCAGGGCAATCCGGGTCAAACACAGGAGAAGGCAGCGTAGTCAGGGCAATCCGGGGTCAAATACAGGAGAAGGCAGCGTAGTCAGGGCAATCCGGGTCAAATACAGGAGAAGGCAGCGTAGTCAGGATGATCCGGGTCAAACACAGGAGAAGGCAGCGTAGTCAGGGCAATCCGGGTCAAACACAGGAGAAGGCAGCGTAGTCAGGATGATCCGGGTCAAACACAGGAGAAGGCAGCGTAGTCAGGGCAATCAGGGTCAAATACAGGAGAAGGCAGCATAGTCAGGGCAATCCGGGTCAAACACAGGAGAAGGCAGCGTAGTCAGGACAATCCGGGTCAAACACAGGAGAAGGCAGCGTAGTCAGGGCAATCCGGGTCAAACACAGGAGAAGGCAGCATAGTCAGGACAATCCGGGTCAAACACAGAAGAAGGCAGCGTAGTCAGGGCAATCAGGGTCAAACACAGGAGAAGGCAGCGTAGTCAGGATGATCCAGGTCAAACACAGAAGAAGGCAGCGTAGTCAGGACAATCCGGGTCAAACACAGGAGAAGGCAGCGTAGTCAGGGCAATCCGGGTCAAACACAGGAGAAGGCAGCGTAGTCAGGGCAATCCGGGTCAAACACAGGAGAAGGCAGCGTAGTCAGGATGATCCGGGTCAAACACAGGAGAAGGCAGCGTAGTCAGGATGATCCGGGTCAAACACAGGAGAAGGCAGCGTAGTCAGGGCAATCCGGGTCAAATACAGGAGAAGGCAGCGTAGTCAGGCTCAATCAGGGTCAATATTACAGGTACAGGAACTCAGGATCACAGATAGACCTTGCGTCAATCTGTGACAGTGCAGGGCATCTCTAAATATTGCGCCCTGCACTGTCATTGGCCGCCTGAGGCGCGCCCGCAGCTCCTACTGCTCATGCGCTGCGTCCTGTCAGCTGCGGTCCGCCGGGACCTGGTGCTTGTGTCCCGGCGTGAGCCGCCGCTAGTGCGCGTGCGCTGAGGGAGGCGCCGCAGCGATCCCTGACAACACCTATGTGAGCGGTTCCACTGAACACGGAAACAACTGCTTTTCACCTTCGCAGCCTCTCACAGGGACTGGAAAAGGTATCTGCCACCTGAAAGTTGGGATTTGATGTTTGATTGTTCTTGATGGTAATGATTTGTAGAATCCCGTATTCTGTTCATATCATTGTGTGTTCCATTTCATCGCATGGACATAGATCTGCTCATTAATTCATGACAATTGTAACCCCGTCCATGGCTGTGTGAGTTTGGGGGGCATCTAATGGGGTGTTGTTGAACCTCGCAGACAGCTATGGCTAAGGCCTGAATGGCTGAAACATGTCAGCTTCTCTGCTGGGCTGATTTTTAGCCATATGTGAAAATAAATCAGGATTTTTATTTTGGAACCTGACCATGATGATGACTTCTCATTGCAAAAATGTAATTGCAGATAACAAACAACATACAAGAAGATGAAGCCGACTGCCCAGCTCTATATAGTATCATGTGTGGTTGTGGAGGGACTCCGGAGGGGTCATGTCCATAGGACACAATCTTCATACCTGAACCAAACCCCCACCAGGAGCAGAAGGGGGGGGGGGGGGGGGATGGGCACTCACTGCCCAGAGACAGGATAGAGGAAGTCTGGGGACTTTTTATGGCAGACAAGGACTCACCTCACCTCCTGCAGAGTACAGCCAGGACGTCGGAGCTCCTCACACAGACGTTTTATTCCGGAGTCCCGGAGTTTGTTACATGATAGATCCAGGATGGTGAGGGATGGGTTAGTGATGAGAATGGAGCGGAGATCATCACAGCAGGAGGGAGTCCGATCACATCCATACAACCTGCAGAGACAAATACAGACACAGGATATTTTATTTTAAGATGAATATGAGGAATTACTCCTGTCGTGGACACTGGCTGCAGGGACCTTCTCTGCCCACATTCACCCTGTTACTTGTTATTGTCATATTTCCCTTTCTGTGACACTTTTGAAGGACTATTTTCTTGTATCTGCCCTAAAGAATATTCCTGGCTTGTTTTATTGTTCCTGTGGGGGCACTGCCCTATTTCTGAAGTGTATAAAAACTGTATTACTCTTCAATAAAGTAGTTCCTGTTTGGCATCTGAGATAGTCTAGTGTTGGGTGCAATGCCCGGCTATAATACCTTGATCCTGTGTTGCAGTGGCGAGGAAGCGATTCTCTGACTGAGTCACCCAATCGGGGTGACAGGTGGTCCGTTACATTTGGTGGCATGCGGTGGGATTTGCTTCCTCCCTACGGAGCAGTTCTAAACTACCACCAGGACCCTCTTCATCTATGGCATATGGAACATCTCTACACCAGCCTCAAGTGCAGAACCTTGAAGGATCTCCTGGAAGCCTATGGAAAAGCTGCCAGCAATAAATCCAAAGTGACTCATCGCCGAACTAATGAAGGGTGACCGGGCCAGTAACCCACCATCAGATACCTCAGAGTTGTCAGAGTTCCAGTGTGGGGTCAAGTGGCACCTGTCCCTGTATGGTACTAACCCTTTGCAAGAAGTGATCAGTCAAGTGTTACGGGAGGTGACCCAGCTTCATATGACTGAACTCAAATGGGACCGATGCCCAATAGGGAAGCTCCAGAGGCCTGCAGAATGCTACCCTATGCTGCCTTCTGAATATTCCAAGATGGGGAAGATGAGATGGATGTTTACCTTCAAACGTTGGAGCGGCAATGCAGGCTCCAACATGTTGAAGAAGCAGATTGGGTCACGCTTCTGGTCATCCGGCTCACATGAAGGGCAGCGGAGGTGTACAATAATGTCCCCGATGAGATCAGCCAGGACTTTGACCAGGTAAAAGAAAGACTGTTAGCCAACTTTGATAGTACTTCAGAGGGCCACCAATTGAGGCTTCGTAACCTCCACAGAAAGGAAGGACAACCATACACTGAGTGGGCTCACCAAATGACCTGAGCAGCAGAGAGTTGGATGTCTGGGTGCCAAGCAGTTACCATGGCAGATGCACTCAAGCTAATCCTCCTGGAACAATTCTACAATTAGGCCCCACCTATGCAGATTGTGCAACCAGAGTCTAAGGCCCCTGCTCTGCCTGTCCCCAACATCCATTGGTCTCCTGCCCTGCTTAGCTACCATCTTCATGGAGGCTGGGGGACTGCTGCTACAGATGCAACCAAGTGGGGCATTTTCAGACAACATATGACCTACAACCCATGTAATGTAGGTTATAGAATCCAAGGCATGTTCTCCACAATACGTGGGATGGACCTCCCGACCTTTACACATCCAGGTTGGTGAGATTCAAACAATTGTCGAATGTTTCCAGACCCTTCCATGTCCAAGGAGGGATAGGGAACCCCTTTTCTTTTTGTGGCATAGAAAGGGTCATTCCATGTGATAGAGGCGGAGATTCACACTGAAAACTATTAGAGCCGGAGGTGTGGTGGATCTCAGCCTCAGCCATCGCTGGGATGGGAATCTCCACCTCACATGACCTGTAAATTGGGATTTGATGTTTGATTGTTCTTGATGGGAATGATTTTCATGTCATCTCTCATTTCAGTGTGTGTTCCATTTCATCACATGGACAGAGAGCTGCTCATCAATTCATGACTCATAAAGGGGATGGGAGTTAGGGGTGTTCATCATTTCTATTAGTGATGGGGGATGGGTAACTTTCCAGGATTTATAACTCCTATCCTGCAGAAGGGAGACAATGACAGATGATATTTCGGGAGTATGAGTTGTATTGGTGATGGGACGGCCTTTTGTACAGAAGTGAGAACTGTCTGATGTCTTTTCCTTCAGAGGAATATATAGAGTTTTCTGTCTTTATTATGGTCAGGACAAAACATTACATAAATATGAAATGTTGCATATAAATAAGTTGCATTATCATTTCACACCAGCAGGTGGAGTTGAATTCTCTTTTCCACATGTTTACCTACCTATTCTTCCTGGTTCATTGTACGTACCATGTTATTTCCAGAGCTCAGTAGCTCAAGCTGTAATTTCTCTTTATAACTGATTGACTGAGGAGTGAGAGGAGAAGGGGAAGCAGATTGTTGAAACCCATCAGAAGGACGTCACTGGATATTCTGTGGAAACTGAGGATGAATTAATCTCTGATGTCTGCAGCTACAGAGGTCAGTGAGGGTTTGTATTAAATCCTATTTCCTGCTTGTTATGGATAGGGATGTTCATTCCATATGTACAAAGCCTGCTCACAGGTCTACTTCAAGGAGAACCCCAAATCCCATGGATGAGATCACACAGAGAAAGATTCCCTCAGAGAGGAGAAGACATGAGAAGAGGAAGGTGATGGAAGATTCTACATCGGTGAGGATGGAGGACACCCAGAGATATCAGGAAACACCGAGAGACGGGAACAATCACAAGACGTCACATTTCCCGATCACTGCAGGATCACAGATCTCACTTACTGTAATGTCTGAATGTTACTCTCCGGGTTCATCAGAAAGGAAAGATCAGGAGACTCTATGTTATATACTGAAGAGAAGGGCTCTTCCTCATCTTCTGCTCTGTCCTCTCCTGGACAATCTTTACTGGAAATAGTACAATACGAAAACCTAAACCCAACAATGAGATAATAATTACCACCAGGAATGTATTTCTTCTGACAACACAACAACAATGTAACACCCAACATTTCCCTCCCACATGGCTGCCTTCCCTTTGGCTCTACAGTCTCATACTGGACCTGATGAGGACTTTTCATTGGTGGCTATGACTGGTCTTTGAAGTTACACTCCAGATAAAACTTAAAGGAGGTCGCTGATGTGTACAGGATCTCCGACCTTCCTACAAAAGGGTCTCCATCAACAATTTCAGGAAAATCCTGGAACACCACTTTGATTCCAAATATAAAATGCAGTCCAGACATTCCCATCTCCACCCACTTCTACAGACAATTGGTCCCTCCAATGTTGGGGTGATGATGTCACACCCCTGGTATTATTGCCCTTCCCCAGATCTCTGAACACTAAGCTTTCCCTCCATTGGCTGGACACACCCATTCCTGTCCACCAATAAATGACTGACAAATCACACCTGACCCATCAGGAGGAGGGCGATATGTGAGTCGGCACCACTGCTAAACACTGGACAACCTCTAGGAGGTGCAGACACACTGGGGAGGTCATAGAATCTATTGATGGGACATAATATCCCAATACTGGGGGCTATGAAGTGAGATGGGAGGGATTGCAGTCATCATTGCCCCTCCCCCACTCATCTCCCCCCATACAGGTTTAGGGGAACCCTCTATATGTGTCCTGATAATAACAAGACCCCCGCTATCATCCTTTCATGTTGGGGGTCTGTGCTGTAAAATTATTTTAGGGATCTATTTATAAAATAAAATACGCAGTGTGAATGTCCCAATATTCACTCAAAAGTCACAGATAGTCCCTGTAATGTTTGTGATATTTTGAAATGTCATTTTCTACTTGTTGCCTTTCACACGGTGAACTGAACATCTCCTGACATTCAATAGTAAGAGAAAACAGCCCTAAGTACATTCAACCTGAAGAGGCAACAAAAATGTTTTCTCTCCAGTTCAAATGTTTTGAATTTATAAGAGGAGAGCAAATCAGGAAAATACAGCATAATGACCACTAGATGGAGCTGATGATCATAGGACATAAGTGTAATGAATCATCTACTGCAGAGAGTGATCTTGTATACAGAAATCATAGGATGTTACAGAGAGCGATCTGTGACAGAATGCCTGGCACCCAGCTTGTACCTTCCGTCAGAGAACGTCTTCCTCACTGCTGGGACACAGGCTGTATTATAGCCGGCCATCGCACCCAAGACTGGACACTACCTTAATACAAACTGGAACTACTTTATTGAGCAGAAAAAACACCATTTTTTATACACTTCACAAATAGGGGAAGTCCCCACATGAACAATAAACACAAATATTATACATTAGGATAAACATCACACGCTGAGTAGATAAGGAGGTGAAGCTGACCTCGGTCTAATCCTATCATGTAGGCACCTCCAGAAGGACTCGCCAACAGACAGAAAGAAGATAGGTGACTCATTAACCAATGGGAATGCACACCTAGGAGGCACACAATGGGAGACGATAGTAAGCACATCACACCGTGATAAACAGATCAGAGCCACAGTCCTCAGCATGAGATTGTTTTGCTGATTATATCGACATCTGATTAGAGTCTCTGAGTCTGGGAAGGAGAGGTTGAAGCAGTCAATGCTGGTTTGGGGCACAAAGACCCCAAATCTGTCTCCTGGTCCTCCAGTTCTCAGAGTCTGTGTGGTTTGGGGAGACATGGACTTGCATCTGAAGTAAACTACTCCAAAGGTCCCTGTCAAAGATTCGTTAAACGATCACCCTGTCACGTGTCCACCACACTCCACGCCCACAGCGACTAGCTAACCGTGACGCACGCGTGCGGCCACTACAGGGTGGTAAAGAGGGGGAATAAAGGGATTTACACTTGAATATCTCAAACCGTATACAAGATCAGCCGTGATACCTTTTCACAGCCCGCACTACCTCTGCCCACCACCGGGGGGGGGGAGACTCCACTCCAATCCAGCTGGTCGACCACACACTGGCAGATACGATCTTACATACAACCTGGTGCCCTGATTAGAGTTGAGGACCAGCTTAGTAATCACACACCCTTCTAAGGTCCCTCCAGCTATCCTAGCTTGAACCCCGGTGTTGACAACCCTTCCACTGTCCACCCCCCCCCACACCAGACGCACCACAAAAGGTAGCCTGCCACCACCCAACAGTTT